CCGGCCCCGCCTCTAGTTTCCTTGTATAGATGAGGCCGAGGGATGCCCTTGTACCTATATATACGTGCACCGTGCACCCGATCAATATATCGAGAGTTGCATTGCCTTCAACAACACCTACTACCTCTGGTTCAAACCCTACCACCCAGGTCCCGCCACGTGCCCAACGGTGACGATCAGGGCCTTCACTGCACACCGCGCAGCACAAGCCTAAGCCGATGTGACATAGCCAGCAGACCCCACTGACACAACCGACCCCAGGGACGCCACCATTTCCATCATAGACCTCACGTCCACCGACGATGGACAGGTCGCGGACTCCTTCAAGGATGAGTAGGCCACAGGAGGCGGCGGTGCCTTGTGTCCTATGTGGATCGATCCGTCTCCCGTGTTCTACTCTTCCTCGCCGGAGACCGCACCTTCACTTCATCGGTCTTATCGTCGGTGCTCATGAAGACGGCGGAAGGAGGACGACACGTGCTTGGACGCTAGGGACGGGTCTTTTTTTGTTCGAAATGTAGTTAAATTCGCCGTGTTTTATGAAATATGTCATGTTTGTACAAAATTCGTCCGTGTTTGCATGAATTTCATCCGGTTCGTTGAAAAATAGTTTCAAACGTATGCGGCTAGCGTTGGATGGCTGCCTCCCACATCCATGTCCGCGGACTGATCTCCTCCCCCTGCCCATGGACAGATGCAAGAGGTTTTTTACGGGTTGCCTTTGAAGATGCCCTAACTAGCATATCTCAGTGACACATACTGCCTCTAAGACTATATGCATGCTTTCCTCCATGTGTCACTGCTCACTTTCTTTGGTGTGTATGTGTGCATGCACCACCTATTGTGTTCTTAATTGAGCCTTCCGGTATTCATTGGAATTGTACACAAAGTGATCCAAAGAAATAAAAAGTCTAGCCTCCACTCCAACAAGCCAAAGGAAAATTCGCAGGGAGTTGAATGCTTCAAAACTAATATACAAATGTAGCCCTTAGTCTTCATGAACCATGAGTCAGGGCCGATGAATTGGCTGAGTATGCCGAGCTAGACAAGTATTTTCTGTTGTTATTCATGAAAAAAGAGTATTATCGGTTGTTGGTCCAATCTAGTTTGTGTGTGTGGGGGTGGGGGTGGAGGAGGGGGTAGCTAGACCGTCAATAGGAATGCACAAAGTTCCAAAAACCTCATGAATCAGATAGTCATGGATGGTTTAACAACTACTCGAATATAATTACCATTTTCAACTCGTTTGCATCCTCCTCCTCTCTTTGGTGGATATCTTGAATCACTTCAACGTCTTGATATAAATGTGACTACACACTATGATGGTCATTTTGCCTCTGTTTCGCTTTTATATGAATACAGTTTTGTTTTGTCACTCTGGTAATATAGGATTTGGTGTGTTCACTCTTGTTTGATCGCATGAAACCTACTTGTACCATTTTCTCTAGGCAATCAACCTTGCTTCAAGAAGTCTTGCTTATACAATTCACACTTTTTCTTGAACTTGGGCTGTTGAGACATTCTAAATGTGTGGTAACACTTTAAATGAATGCCATTTACGAATAGGAAAGTTGCATTTAATAAACAAGCGAACGGCATGCAATTGCTTATTAATGGTTGTATACCGATTGTAACCCACAAACGCTTGTTACATATATTATCTGAATCATGGCATGCAAGTTGTACCCTAACCAAACACTATAAACAAGTGGAAGACGTCTAGATGTGATTTTAAATAAGTTAGCACCAAATTTTCAATGTTATAAGTATATCCGTTCATCATTATTTAAAGCTGCAACTGAGTCACTTGTATGTATACGACTATATGTGAAATATATCACACAATGCAAGGATTACAAGGATCAAAGAATGTATATGTCGCTTACATGGTTGCAACAGTTACCCTAGCGCAAACACCACAATACTGTCCTACTTAGCAAAAGATGTACACATGGCATTTGAAGTTGAAGCTTGGGATCAACTAGGGATTCAAAACATCAGAACACGACTATTGCTTCATTCACCTTACAACTGCAAACACAGACTTACCTTTGGATAAGAGTATTTTGTTGTTTTTATCAAATTAGGTAAATCTAAGAGTATTTTGTTGTTTTTATCAAATTAGGTAAATCAATCATGTTTGTTTTGAGTATGTGGTTGCTAAGCAGATTGCATATTCCATTTCAATTCTTGGGGAGGGGGTACAATTTGGAAGATATTTGTGGCAGAATGTTGGATTAGTGAAAGAACTACGGTGTTAATGACGTTCCGTATTATGTTGTTCGTTTGGTCTTTATGTAAAAATTGTGGAACAATGTATGCTTTCGGGCATCACACTCGATATCTTACGATAATTGTGGTGATTTGGAACTAAATGATGTGCAACATTTCAAGTAGATGGATCAATGAGTAGGCTCACTAATTAATTAGTGAAGCTACATTCAAGATTTGGGGTCAATTAACCATATATAGTTTCTAAAATAATTTAGCTTCTCATATAAAGATAGTGACACCACTTGAAGAATTCTTGCACCACAACAGCGCCGAAGTGTTCATGAAGGCACCCAACCTAACATCAAAGATTCCCTATCTTGGTTGATGGCATGGTTTGCATAGAGCATAGGTAGTTTTTTCATGTTTTGCACATAGAAAATCTCATGATTCACATAGAGTGTACATATGAAAAATAAGAGGTAGCCAACAAGCGATGAAAACAATCAAGAGAACTTGCCAGTAAAATCCTTAGCACAACTAGAATATATATGTGATGATGTGTGAATTGTATTGTTGAGTTACTCCGTGGCTATAACTGACTCCCTTTAAATGCAGGTGGGGCGAGAGAGCTGAAGTGAGAAACAACTATGAACTCGACATATTTTTAGGTGAACTTTTATTACTTGGAGTAACACATAGTCAACACCTGAATATAAATACCACAAGGCTAAAGAGCAATACCATACAAAAAATCTAAGTTATGGCTATAGAATGTCTAAGGCAAATCCTTCGAGGCTCACCTCATCATGTTAGCAAAGTAGGTTTGGGATGCATTCGGGATTAACACAACACCAATTTTATCCTTTCGGTAAGCAAAGTAGCGCAAAGCCTATATGGTTCATTAGATATGACGCAAATTCAAAATTATAAACCCCCGAGATCGGAGTCTGCGTATTGTTTAACCATTAAACATGCCACCGTTATTTTACAGTAGAATAAATGATCTAGTATTTGACGACGAGTTAGGATAACCGTATATTCATAAATTACTATAAATTTTTTTATACTGCTTGCAGGTTTTGAAATTTCCAGGTCCAACTGTACAGTCCACCTGGTTATGCTCGACATGAGCTTGGCAAGGGAGCCTATCCGTAACCGGGAGGCCAAATTCATGGAAGCAACCAAAGCTCAAGTATATTCATTTGAGACTAACTGAGTATAGTTGTTAGACTGTGATTGTTTTTGTTTGGGCCACAACTTCCACGGCTGCAAGTGCGACATCTTTGACTTGAAGGAGCGACTGCAGCTGCTAGAGATGGCTGGGAAGTCCGAACTCAGGTGGCGACTTTACTCTCTCGCGATCGCTCGCGGGAGCGAGCGATTCCCATGCGTGGAGCGATCCGTCCAGGGCAGGTGGCCGCTTTTATCGCGATGATGGTGAGAATGCTCCCTCACGTAATCACACCATCCTGTGATTTTCAGAATGGGCCCATCAAAACCTGCCTAATCCCACAGATCTCACATAATCACTTGCCTTATTCTTCAGATCTTCTATCTCCTTCCCATAATCACAACGCCCCCCCTGATTTTCAGGGGTGGGGGGCAGCCCAAGCTTACCGATGCCCAAACCTGCCTAATCGGTCATGTCTGAATCGAGCGCTGCAACGCGCGCGCAATAGTCACGCCCCCAGATTTGTAGCAGCAAAAACGGCAACGGTGGCTTCCCTGTCGAATATATAACCAGCTCTGTGGATTATCCATTTTAGCGGCTACTAGGATCTCTAACAAACCCGTTTTGCCAGTATTACGCCGCGGTCGTTGCTTGGAAAAGAAAAAGGCAAGTCTCGCCTCGCCTCTGTATCCACGTAGCCCTCGCTAGTCCCGCTCGACACGTCGCGGAGCACGTGCCACTGCCAGCCCCGCTCCCGGATAGGAGCTCTCACCAGTCACACCTACTACTGCTTCCGGTTCAAAACCCTACCATCCAGATCCCGCCACGTCTCCAACGATGACGGGGAGGGCCTTCACCACGCGCCGAGCGACAAAAGCCTGACCCGGCGTGACATAGCCAGCAGATCCCACTGACACGTCCGGCCCCAGGATGGCATCCCCACACGTCATTGACGTGATCGTTCCACCTCCCAGGTGCAGGTGAGCGCGCACCGCCTAACAGCGGGCTAGAACCGTCCAGAAGCCGGCACGGCCCTCCGCGCCGTCTGCCCCCCAGGTCGGCCGCGCACGCTGCGTGCGCCCGGTCCATGGACCCCCCGCGCGAACCCCTCAAAGAAAAAAAACAATCTACCCGCAGGTGCATGGACCGGGCGCAGGCCAGCATCCGGGCCGGTCACGCCGTCCGCGTGGCGCAGCGCGCAGGAGGCCACGGGCGCGACGGGCACGCGGCCACCAGAGGAGAACCGTTATCTTTACCGTGCCCCCCGCTCCCCATAATCCCAAATCGCGCAAGGAGGAACTCAAATCCAGAGCCCTCTCCTCCCCAACCCTCCCTCCCCTCGCGGATCCACACTTGCGGCGGCGGCGAGAGCGGGAAGCGAAAACTCGAAACAGCTCCGAGCATGGCCAGCGAAGGCGAGCACGCGGCGGCGGCGGCGGCGGCGGGCGAGCAGACGCCGCTCAAGAAGGCGGGCGAGGCGGAGCAGGGCGAGGAGCTCCAGGCCCCCTCCGGCTGGACCAAGAAGGTAGCGCGCTTTCCCCGCCCGCTCCAGCTCCCGAATCCGGCGCCGGGTTCTTAGATGCGCCCGAGCTCGGATTCGAGGGCTCCCGGCTTCGATGCGTGGGGGGATTTGGCCCCGAGCGTTCCGGGTCGCGTTCTAGGGTTTCGGAGCTAAATCTAGCTGGGATCCCCCGCTGCTCGTGTAGGTGCGCCTGTTGACTTTTTGTTCCGCGGATTTCCAGCTCGGGTTGTTGTATCTTAAGCTCAGTTAGGGTTCGTAGTAGTTCCTTGGCCGATTCGTTTAGCTAGGGTTTGTGGTTCACGATGTATTTAGCTCGCGGCGTTTCCAGGTTAGGGCTTGTAGTTCCTTGGCCTGTGGTTTCTAGTACTGTTGCGATTCGTTTAGCTAGGGTTTGCAATTCACGGCCTCTTTAGCTAGCAATGGATGTACGGTTTTGATGTGACCCTGGCAGGATTTGTGTTACCGAGTCTATGTGCAGTAAGTTTTAGGGTTCAAAAGCCCTATTGGCAGAGGTTTAGGGTTCCGAGTTTTACTGTAGCTACATGTTTAGGTTATATTGCATTCTTGTGGTACAGGGTGAAGAGCGAACGTTCAGCATTACTGAAGCTGTATGAATTGTGATGTTTGAGCTTTTGATTCACAGTACCTTTGTTTGAACGAGCTAACAGTGATTCACCATGTTTCTGGTCTAACGTATGAAATATCTTCCCAGACACATGCGAGTGAATGAGTCTTGCTCAAGTCTCCTGGAAGCAGCCAGGCAGTCACTAGCAAATAACACCTATTTTTAACCTGCCATTTCTGGGATTTGATAGTCAAAAAAAATTCTACCTCCAGTACGGTTTTACTTGGACAGGGTTGTCCACATCTTATGCCACATAAGATGCCCTTAATCCACGTTGGATTCGGATACTTGTATACGTGTCCAAGTGCTAACCAGGCAGTTTTTGTCGCGTTGTGGTTCTGCTTGTTGATTTGTTCGTAGTGCAGGTCTCATGAGTTTAATTTATACCATGTATAGCTAGGTCTGCTTCACCAAATTAATGTTTGTGTGTAGTAAGGTTGGGGTCAGGGATTGTGTTGTATAGGTATAGTATGATGCTATTTATTAAAGCGTCCCGATGATGAAATCATTTTAGAGTGAACCGTTTTCCAACTGAAAGATTCTATTATATGATGAGTATTTACTTTCGTCAATTAATTAGTGTGAACAGTTTTCCAACTGAAAGATACTATTAGATGGTGAATATTACTTTCCTCAATTAATTAGGTTTTGTCCTCATTCCTAATAACGTGTTGTTACGTCTGTCTTGGATCATTAAATCATCTGAGGATGGAAAATTAAATTCTAAAAGTTACTTTGTGGCATCCAAGGTTGGCTGGCCAGTTCTTCATTCTAATCCAGGCTGCAGTGGTCTAGTGGCCTGTGAGAAAGGGCACGGCATACTGACAATTCTATGAGGATGTGGTTGGAGCCTTGGACGTAGATGGTAGATGAGAAAGTTTATTGGATATCAGGGAGACCGTGTTACGAAAGTGGGGCAGGGTCCTCTGTTTGTGACTAACAGTCTCCGTAAAACCTACCCATCTGTGATGTTATTTCCAAGTCAAATCTAGTTCTGTGTTATCCAGCTAAGTTTCTATCTTTGTGAGTCAGCTAGCTGGTTTTCCCTATTTGGTAAGTGCAGTGTGATTAAAATGATGATTGCATCGTACTATATATTTTGCCATGGTTGCAGTATTCTTGAATTTATGTTTGTTACTCTTACTGCTGTTACATTCTCTTGAGATCTAGCTTCTCAACCTATCCTATTGATATACTTACTGCCATGTCTTTGCTAAATATTTAATTGAATATTATATAGAGCTTGTCAAAGACTTCAGTATTATGTCCATGGCTAAATTATTATATTCAATAGTATTGTGTAGCCAGTCTCGTGCAGTCTCGTAGCCGTGTCAAAGACTTCAGTCTTGGACGAACTTATCATGTGCAATTTGTAGGCTTGGTAAAATTCATGGCGGAACTGTTTCTTTAATAATAGTGCGATAGAATGGTAAAACACACACAACAACAGTCAGCATGAAAGAGTGCTACTGCTGTGTTGGCATAATCTATTGTTGTTATCTTGTTGTTTTGTCTCCACGCATATTCAAAGCAGATCAGCATGGCTGTTGATGTCATTTTGTAGCATGTGTTGGTTATGAATAAGCATGTTTTCGTGGCTTGTTTAATTGCATTTATTTACTTTGTTGATTCTCAAATTATGGTGGCAGCCAGTTAAACAAATACTGGAGAATGTTTGAGGGATGATACCTCTCTGGGACCCAGACACTGAAGACCTGGTTGGACTATCTTAGTATTAATGGAAATCCATGTTATAGCACATATTGTATTACTGTCGTAGTGAAGTATTTACATGGTAGTTGGCTACTAGACCATGTTTTTAGTATAGTTCTCTTCTTGTGTGTATGAACATTATTTTTTCCTGGTGATCATCTTGGAAAGTGAAATGATCTATGGAGTTGCAGTTTCAATTGAATAGTAGCTTGTGCACTTATTGGGCTGCATGGAGATTGATCCTGCAGGCTGGGATGTACTTTTTGGGTGTGCTCTTTTAAAGCCACTGGCTTGGTATTTTTTGGAAGTCCCGCAAATTCTTCGAGGATTGCGCAGAAATAATCATAACATGTTTAAGGAAACATTGCTGCTAAAAAAATCATGTGTATTGAATCTTATTTCACAGGCTACTCCTTGGGGATATTCCAATTCTAGGCAGAACTAGTTAGGGTTGACATATGGTGTAACTAACTTCATTACTGATTACCGACATGTGTATGTATAATCTCAAATCCATTCCCTCATGAACAATATATCTCTGAATAATCATGTTTGTTTTGGTTGCCATTTGGTACAATGTGCAACTGATGTGCTAGGGAGATGCACTCACCGAAGTGCATGATTATTCATATGTGTCGAGTCTCTTGGTTGGTTTTCATCTGGTGCTCCTCTGCTCCAGTTGCTTTCATACAAAGTTCACGGTTTGTCTGGTTCAGTGTTCCCTTTTTGGTGATGATAGTTCATATCTGTTTTTTGTTCAGGGCAAATGTTTTATTCTTTAGAATGGTTGTTGGCAGTACTTCAGTTTACTTATCTTCTGCTGGTGGTTTAGTTGGAATATTCCTTACACTTGAACATGCATTACCAGTACATGTATGAACAAATTGACAGATGCCATGTGGGATTGGAATTTATTCTCTTTAGGTTTGTGTAGTGTTTTTCCATAATGGTGCTGAAATAATATGTTTGCTTCCTGTGCAATTGCAGCTTAATCCCACTCGGGGTGGGAAGTTTGAGGTTGTTTTTGTTGCACCAACTGGCGAGGAGGTCAAGACCAAGAGAGCTTTAACCACATACCTAAAAGCACACCCTGGAGGCCCTGCTCTTTCAGAGTTCGTCTGGGCAACTGGTACATGCCTTATCTCGTCATTCCTTGATTACTTTATTTATGATTTAGGTAGGACTATTGTTATCCAATCAAAGTCTTGCCTATACTGAAAGATCCATAAGCAGGCAATACTCCCAGACGATCCTCACGTCTAAGTGCAAAGCCTAAGGCTACTGAGAGCCCAGAAGATGAGAAACCCTCACGCCGAAGTGGAAAGTCTAAGGCTACCGAGAGCCCGGAAGATGAGAAACCTGCCAAACGGGGAAGGCCCTCAAGCTCTAAGAAAGGCAAAAAGGGGAAACAGGAGGATGCAGAGGACGCAGAAGCTGAAAGTGGAGATCATGCTGATGCTGAAGAAGCCAAAGGCACTGAAGTGGAGATGAAAGATGCTGAAGAAGCCAAAGTCACTGACCTGGACCTGGAGATGAAAGAAGCTGACAATGCTCAGGAAGAGAAGAAAGAGGAAGAGGCTGGCAGTTTGGTTGGAGAGAAGAAAGAAGCTGACACTGTTGCTCCGGAAGAGAAGAAAGAGGCTGACACTGTTGCTCCGGAGGAGGAGAAGAAAGAGGCCGACACTGTTGCTCCGGAAGAGAAGAAAGAGGCCGGCACTGTTGCTCCGGAAGAGAAGAAAGAGGCCGACACTGTTGCTCCGGAAGAGAAGAAAGAGGCCGACACTGTTGCTCAAGAAGAGAAGAAAGAGGCTGACACTGTTGCTCAAGAAGAGAAGAAAGATGCCCCTGTCGTTGATGCCCCAGAGAAGACTGAAGAAGTGGAAGGCGAGGCAGCTGAATCTGAGGTAGCTCCCGTGGAGGCTGAGATGCCTGACCCTGTAACGGAGAACAAGGAAAACGAGAAGCCAGCTGAATTTGAAGAAGTCCCGGTGGAGTTTGAGATGTCTGACCTTGTATCCGAGAACAAGGAAAACGAGAAGCCAGCTGAATCTGAAGAAGTCCCCGTGGAGTTTGAGATGTCTGCCCCTGTATTAGAAGAGCACATGGAAGATGAAAAGGCAGCTGAATATGAAGTAGCTCCCGTGGAGGGTGAGAAAACTGAAAACGGCCTGGCAGTCGAATCCACAGTGCCACCTCCAGCATCTTCAGAGGAAAAGAAAGTAGAGGCAGATAGCACCATCAATCCGGCGACCCCTCCTCCAGCTGAGGTGAAGGCAGATGCTCCAGCGGCAGAGGCAGCAAAAGCCACGGAGAATCCAGCAGACAACGCCGTCCCCGAAGAACAATCCGCCGCGAACGTCGACAACAATGGACAGATTCATCCAGGTGTTTCTACCGTGAGGTGCACCTGAAGGTAGGTTTCCTGGAAGACAGGCGAGGCGAGGCGAAACGGGGAACAAACCTGGTCTCTGTTTGCTTTGAGAACTGTAAGCGTGTTTAACCTGACAGCGCCTGTAATTGTAGGCCCTTTCCGCATACTTCACAGCTTGTTGTCTTATGAGGTGCTGCAGGGCAGCAGGCTGGCTTGTGCCGCCTCGGTCATTATTATCATTTGTAACTTGTTAGAGTGCACATTAATCTCAGGAGGACATAGACAATACTTATGCTGCTGTTGTTGTAACCTGACGACCTTTATGCCTTTGCCTTGTGTTGTTATTCATAAATAAGCCATGGATGAACATGTTTTGGGTTGCTTGCTGGGGTAGGGTTCAGTTAATCTCTTCTGCAGATGTTTTAAGAAGTCGGTCCTGGCTAGGATCAATTATAAGTTTGTTCTCAGATATTCGCACTACATCGTGTGTTCTTACTCCTGCAGTACGGCTGCAACCCCAACCATTCGGGGGTTCCATGGTTCTATTGATTGACGGGGGGCTTCCATAGTTCTATTGACAAGATTCATTTTGATCCTAGTGAGAGGATACATGGTTTTTTTTACTAAAAATTGCACTCGCTAAAAAATAGAAGTTTTGATTTTGATTTTTCTGCAGCTAAGGAGAAAACAATTCTAAGTTTGTTCTCAGAGCATCTACACCGCTCATGAAAATCCGACTCGGCCTGACTGGCACTCATATTCAGCCCACATAGGGGGTGTATACTGCATCCGGGCGCGTTCGATGATGGGGTCTCACATGGAATGACACGTAATCCATTGCAGCAGTATGAACGCCGCCGGTGTCCCCCAAACCTCTAACTCATCCATCTTCTCCCTCTCCGTGCCGTCATCCGAGCATGTCTGTGTCCTCTCCCCCGCTCTCTCATGCTCTCGAGCATCGCCATGGTCCGGTAGAAGATCACCTCGTACGCTGTGCTCACGCTTGAGCATCGGGGGAAGACCACGAATGAGATTCAGTTAATGCGTGCCACCCGCATAGCTGTCAGGCTGCCTTCGAACTCGCCGGAGCCGGAGAAGAAAGAGGAGCAGCAACTGGAGGAGGGAGAGCAGCTGCCGGAGCCGATGAAGGTGGCGGCTTCAGAGGAGGATGAGCCGGAGCAGCCTGCTCCGAGGGTTAACGTGGTGGAGGTGGAGACGGAGGCGGAGTTCGCAGTCGTTCAAGCCGCGGAGATGGCAGAGTTGCAAGCCATCTTGAAGTCCATTCAGAATGTGGCCTATGTGGAAGCCAATTAGGAGTTCCTCCGGCAGAAGCAGAATGATCAACACGCTCTTTGCCGAACTCGACACGGAGATAAAGGAGGAAGAGGCCGGAGCAGAGGAGCCCGAGCTGCAGCTGCCATCCATGTACCCAGAGCTGGAACGAAGATAGTCGACATCTTTGACGAGGAGTGGCTAGATCATCTATGTAGTACGTAAGTTATTTTGTTTGCATGGTGGATTTAAAAATCTAATATGAGATGTTCGGATGCAGTTGTGCTATTTGAGGAGTGTCTGGTCATTGCCTGCGGACACGCTGACGTACATTTGAGGGTCATATTTGTCATATGTGGTTGTAGATGCTCTCGTAGTACATTATTGTTTCGTGGTCTGTCATACATGGTTTCTGGATTTCTGGTTTCATATCCCAAACACGCATTGCTCTCGCTAAATAGTAATTGATTGTCGGAATACTTGATGAAATTATTATACCCGATTGTGCTAACATATTCCCTACTTCCTCTGTACATAAATATCCGACGCTTTAGAGACTTGACATAAAATGTTTTATATTTATGTACAGTGGGAGTTACTCGTATGTCTTGTCCTTTTTATTTTGACAATCAATACCATATATTTATAGTAGCGAATTGTACATGGTAGAGATAATTGGTCGTCGAAATACTTGATGAAATTATTATACCCTATTTGTGTTAACGTACTCTCTACTTTCTCTGTACATAAATATACAACGCTTTAGAGACTTGATGACATAAAATGTCTTATATTTATGTACAGTGGGAGTAACTCATATGTCTTGTCCTTCTTTTTTTGTTTGACAATCAATACCATGATATATTTATAGTAACTCATATGTCCTATCCTTGAACGCCTATTGTTTTTCCCAGTTGTTCCGCAAGTTAAAGAGAGAACGAGATGTACGAGACCTTCTTTAGCCCGAGTGCTTATTTCTATTTCAAGATTGCTATGTGTTGAAACTTTTATTTATGTTAGTAGGAGTAGGGCATAGCCGGAGATGACTTATTTGCCCGTCGTGTCGCCGCCGGCCTAGGAGTGACATTGGATGATTGGTTTGGGGAGGGGAAGTGGGTGCGTGGTCGTCATCGTCATC